AATTGAAAATACAGCAACAACGAAAGCCCACATAAGTTTCTTAGAGCTTTTCAAAATGATAGTTACCATTTGACCAGGATGCAGCAGAAGAAAACACATTCTCATATATGCCTGGAGGAAATATTGATTCAAATAACTTTCTTAGAGCACACTTTATCATTATGAAATCAAAAGCCTTAAGGCATATGTAGTTGGCTTTCCATATCTTTTGGCTCCATATCTAAGAATTCAACCAACTGCAAGACAAAACTATTTTTAAAAAATTCCATTTGTATTAGAATGTATGAGACAGTTCTTTCTCTTAACATTAGCCCCTAATGATATAGTCGGCACATATGTACATAGCATTTACATTGTATTAGGCAGTATAAGTAATTTAAAGGTCATTAAGATATATAGGAAAACAAAAATAGGTGATATGTAAATGTTACGGCATTTTCTATAGTGGAGTTGAACATCCACAGATGTGAGGGTCTGGGAGCAGGGGTCTTGGAACCAATTCCCCATGGATAGGCAGGGGTAACTATTTCTGTTTCCTTGGACCCAGAAAGTCTCCTATAACTGTGGACTAAGGAAATGGTAAAGGAACTTGGTAAAGTATTGCATGTACATGTAATTGAGTCAGGTGAAGCTGTTAGTGATTAAGCTGTAGATGGGGCTAGCTCTACGGTAAGGAGCCCTACCTGCTCTTGCAGAAGACCCAGGTTCAAGTCCCAGCACCCACATGATGGTTAACAACTTGTCTGTAACTCCAGTTCCTGGGGATCTGATGCCAACTTCTGGCCTCCTTGAGCACTGCACCTATGTGGTGCACAGACATACACGCAGACATACTATGCATTTTAAAAGTATTTTTTTAAGTGAACAACGAAATGAGGCTATAGAAGCACATTGACCAGCATATTGTATGTTCAGGGTACAGTTGGCATTGTACATGTTTACATGATAGATGGAGCCTGGAGCCTAGATGCTTTTATCTGCTGTGCTTTTCTTGAGGTATTGGCCAGCCTTGGGAGGATTAAAATAGCACAGCAGAGTGGCGTTTTAGATAGACCCTTCTTGTAACCTTATGCTTAGATAGATCCTTTGTGACATGGAAGAGATTGTCACAGTGGTCCAGAAAGAAATGATGAGGCTACAAAGGTGTGAGTAGAGTTTTAGGATAGACTTGGTGCAACCCAGGGAGTTGATTCTCCCTATGGTAAGTAACACTCATAGGCACTTGTCCTGAGGAATCCTAGATATCTAGGTGTCTTCATCAGAAGTAGAGCCAGGAAAACTGGGGCCAGAGGACTAGGACCTGAAGGCGAATGTGCTAGGCTCCATGCCAGTCCCTTGTGCCTCCTACTCTCGATTTCCATTTCATGGAGTTCAACCATGTCCCTCCAGTGCTTAACTGAGCCAGCGGCTCATTTAGGATGGTCTGGGTCTGTGGTAAACTTGGGGCCAATATAATTGGGGACAGGAATAGGGAGTAGGACAAATGATGGCTGAGAGGGTGGGAGGCAAAGGGGGCGCCTAGAACCATAATGCTTTAGAGTTAGAAAATGAATTGAGACAGCAACTGGGTAACCAGAAAGAGTTAAATGTACTGTTCTGGGCTGGATGATCTTGGACTTGTATGGGGGTTTTCCTGGGAATTAAGCCTGGGTTTCAACAGCATCTGAACATTTTTTTTCCTGCAATGACTAGCCTTCTATGACAAGTCTCATAAACACTTGAGTTTCATAAGGGTTTGCGAATCACATGTACCCACCAGACCTGGGGCTGAGATGAGTTTGAGCTAAAATGAACTTGTGTGGGTATTGCTGGATCTGTGTGATGGGCTGCCCTGTTGGGTGTGTTTTGAGATATCTCATGGTATAGAAAATAGATCTCACGAATGTATGGCAGTACTGGCATAAAGCCCTGTGTGTTCTCTGAACACACTGAATGGGCAGAGCTATGGCGGGAGGAGGAGCCTTTGTGGTCTGCTTTATGAGTGTGAGGTGGCAAGTGCGTTGAAATGGGGTTTCATAAGAAGTGCTTGTGAGAGCTTCTCTCCCCTAGTCTCTTCATCTGTGAAATGAGGTTAAGTAACACGGCCCCGCCTCTGAGGGGATGTGGCAGTTCTCTGTAGCACCATTTCACTGGCTCCCTGTTTTTGCTCTATGCTTTAGGGGCTGCACTGGGCAGTTTGGACTATAGATAGAGAGCACCACATGGGTGCTGGGATAGGCTGGCATGTGTTCTCATCTCTCATCTTTGTACTTCTAGATGTCCTCTCCTACCGTTAAGCATCCCTAAACCTCAAGGGATGTTTTCGTTTTTCCTTCTGCCAGTCTGAAACACAGGCCATCAAAAGTTGGAGGGGTGGAGCCACCCAGTGAAGGAAGCAAAGAAAGGCAAGGCCGGGGACCCTTGGGCTGCTAAGTTAAAATGCTTTAACAAGGCACAATCAACTAAGAATCATTTTAGTTGTGACCTTACAATTTCAGAACTCTTTCGAGTGGCTGAAAGAGGTTACCTAGAAATGGAATGTGGGGTTTTTTGCTAGTGTATTCACTGTATTTGACTCAAAGATTGCTTGAAGAAAAGTCCTCTATCCTGGTGATAGTCATAGACAGGCAAGGTGAGAAAGGCCAGAATGTCAATTAGAACATTTTGGCCCTGTGAAAGTAACTATTGCTAAGCTCATCAAGACTAGACTAGCTGGCTGTCTCTTGAGTGGTGGCGAATAACTGGAGAATGGAGTGGGTTGGAACTGGCGGCTTAATCCTTATAGTAGGTTCCTAAATATCTGCTGTAGGGAAGTACAGAACCAGTTAAATAGTTATGTGCTTGCCCCTCGAGGCTACAGACACAGAAAAGTAAGACTTCATTAATTGTGAGGCCCACTATTGCATTTTTACTTTCTGGTGGCATGTTGCAAGTGTCTGGGTATTTCAGAAACTCAGGAAGGCTGCTGGCATAACTCTCCTGGGTATTCCAGATGAACTGGAGACCTTTTCATTGTGGTTGGGACCCAGTTTCCTCTCTGTACTGTAGCTTTAAAGTGTAGGCTTTGGTTGGCCTGATGCTGGGTAACTATGTGCAACCTCCAACTTGGTCCTTTGCCTAAGGTAAGTAACCTTCCTGCTGTGTCTGGGGTAAAGAACACCAGCTTCATTTAGTTCTTTCTTGGACTGCTCCTGAGGGCTAGGCTAGAGTGTGGGTAGGAACTAATATTTGCAGAATCAAAATTTCAAGTATATGATCCTTATTCAAAACCAGGAGAGTAGTTCAGAAATCTGCTGCTTTGGTATTTGAGAAAGGCAACACGATGGATGGTAAGAGTATTTTACATGTAATCCCAGTGAGGTCTGGGAGTGCATTACTCCACACAATGAAATACATCTTAGTTCTGTGAGAAGTACATGAAAATTCCTCATAAATAAAGTGAGATTTACCCCCTTTCAAGTCATGCTTTGAACAGGCATACATTTTCTTTTTTAGAGCCTTTTGGATTTGGCATCCAACAGAGGATTGTGGACCTAAAATTATCATTGAGTTTGCACTTTAATCAAATGAACCCACAGGGGAAAGGCATGGGGTAGGTGCTGGTAGATGGCTCTTTCCTTGGAGGGGTTCTCTAATGGGGTATCGTAGGTGATGGATTCCCACTGGTATTCTTCTTAAGACACTTTCTCTTTTCCATAATCCCCCTTTTTCCTCTTAGCAGGGATTCTAGCTGCCAAGCAGATGTCTTCCCTATGGTACAGACTATTCTTCTCACTGTAGACTGAGAAAATGGCGGAACAAAATGTCAAAGCATGCACCCTTGGCAAAGCCAACAAGCCCATAATGGAATCTGTCAGCTATCAATGAGTTTTTTAAACCACACAATCAAATCAGTTTGGGTCAAGGAACCCTACAAACATAAGGCTTAGGTATTAGTTAATCCTCCGTCCCATGTGTCTTTGGCCCTCAGAGTAGTTCAGTCCAAGAGCAAACACATAGCATGTGAGGCTACCAGGAATGGCTGACCTCATTCCATCTGGAACTTTTGTTCAGCATGCAGATGTGGTGGGGGGAGGTCCCAGGTTTGCAGAATCAGAATGCTTTATGTGAGAACACAGGAATTTGCGTATTTAGCAAATTTTGCAAAGGATGTTTTGTCCTTGATGACAGTTGAAGACAACGGTATGGGTAAATAAAAGTCAAACAACTGCAGGTCCTTAGAGGCTGTAGTCCAGGCCTGTGTCACACCCAAGAGCAGGGAGCTGACTGTCCTCTTGAGTGACAGAGCTTTTGGTTTGCGTTTTTGCCTGTCACGATAACAGGACATTAAAAAATTCCCTAGGTCAATTTGTAGAAACAAACAATCCAGTGGGATTTAGAGTCGGGGGGGGGGGGGGCAGTTTGTTAGAGTTGTGGGGAAATTCAGGATCCCAGATACTTCCAATTTTCAGATAAACACAAAGCAATGTTTTAATAGAAACATGCTTCATGCAACACTTCCAGCCTACTTACTCAAAAACATTATTCATTGTTTCTCTGGAATTCCAATTTAACTCGGTGGCCTGCATTTTCATGTGCTAAATTTGGCAGCTCTGAGTATTGATAAGCCCACCTACCCTCATGGGAGGCAAGCAGATGGCGTGTGTGCGCATCTTCCATGTGCAGAATCTATTTTTACCTGGCCTGGGGTAAAGCTTCAAAGACTGGCTACTTATGGCGTATTGAAGTTAGAGTACTGAAAAATGAACTCTCTCTCCCTTACACACACACACACACACACACACACACACACACACACACACACACACACACACTACAAATGTACTTCGGTAAGCTATCTGTTTGCCTCATAACTATAAAAATTTTAACTAACACACAAAACATACAAATTTCACTTTTCTAATTTTTTATATTACATTTTTTGTGTTAAACTTTTATTTTTTTTAAATGTTATTAAAGTAAAACCAAGTCACCGTGCTCAGTGTTTTGCTCACTAACCATTCTTAATTCTTCAATTGCAGATCTTCCTCCTGGCCTGCCCTCCATGTCCGGGAGCTATCGTCATCTTCAAGTAAGAGAAAATTGTGTTTTACCCCTCCATGGCCCTTCCTTTTCAGGCTATTCTTTCCATTTGGTGATAGAGGACAATGTGGTCTCAACCCCCCTGGACTGGACTGCTTGGTCCTCTGGCCTTTCACAAGGATTAAACATCTGTCGAGGTCCACTGAACTGTCATGTACATGTTGGATATAGGTTGTAGCTGTTGTTGAGCCCTGGCAAATCCTACTGAACCAATCTTTGTGTTTACACATCCAAGGCAGGGTGGCTTGGCAGCTTGTTGTCCTACTGAGGTTACTCTTGAGAGCTGCTGGGGACTACCTGGCTTTATTCCACAGTCCCCCCCCCCCCCCAACTACCCCTACTGGTGATGTGCCATTGAAGGTCATTGTTCCTGTGTCTTAATGGCCATTTTTCCTTCAGGTGCAAAATGAAGTGACAGGGATTCTGGAAATTGAACTCAGGGTCTTATACCTGCTGCACAATGTTCTACCCCTGAGCCACGTCCTTAGCCTTAGAAATTCTGACTTTCTTTCAAATATCAGCAAACATCAAATTCAATAAAGCAAGCAAACATGTTTCTCTGAAGGCAAGTTTACGTAAATTAAATTAGTAAGAGTCCCAGAACCCTCATTTTCGCCATGAGTTGTGATCATCTCCCTCATCAGACCTTTTATTAGAGTTGCTAGTGTGAAGGTAAATGGGCTGAATTAATTTCCTCTCTCCACCCCCACCCCCATGTTGGAGCTATTCCTGAAGAGTGAAATGGCCAGAGGGAGGGAACAGGAAGTAATAGGCCTAGCAGATGCTTGGCTAGTTGAGAGTAGAGTAAATGGCTTTCTGATTTACTTAAGTCATTAGAGTGTTAGGCAGGGGGAAAGCTACCCCATTTGCTGCTGCAAACAGCTCCTTAGAATAGCCACTTAGTCTCTTGCCTAAGGTGAGTAACTTTCTTCCCGGTGAGGGGTAATGGATCCTGACTTTATATATTTTATGTGGACAGCTCCCACAGAAAATGGCTATTTAACCTCACTTCCCTCCCTTGCCTTTTCAAAATGAGCTCAATTATTCAGTGTAATGTTTTTAAAGCAATGGTCATTGATTTTTATTTCATTAGGATGAAAGCAGCAATCCTCATCAGAAAATAAACACCACCTCCATCCTCCCCCGAGAGATAATTTCGGTTATTGCCTTTCTTTTTTTGATAAGCAAAAATCACATTGTTTACTCATATTTGTACTATTTATTTTCTCAATTTAATTTAGTTTACTTATATTTTATACTCATATGATTACTGGATATTTCATAGTGGTCCTTTGTGATTCCTTTTTCTTGGCCCCTAACTCACACTATCCCTCCATATACTAAACCGATACATGTCTTTCTCCATGTGCATGGACAAGCACATGTGGCTTTTAGAAGGTTTTGTTAATTGTTTTTATTCTTTAATACATGTTGCTTTTTTCACTCAGCAACATCTCATGGAAATCCATCAAAGTCTACTGGTATAAGTGTTATTTCAGAAGGCTGTAAAATATTTCATAAATACATAATTTATCTTGGCATTTCCATGTTAGTGAATATTTACTTTCTTTCCATAATGCTGAGATAACCATTACTGTCTACTAACTTTGTATATTGTTGCTTTCAATTTTTGTTTGTGCGTGTATGTGAATGCTTTACACAATATTTTTCTTTTCTATACAAATATTATTCCTTTGGAGCTTCCTCATTTCCAATTCTATTTAAAGTTGCTTTACCAAAGATGAATAACCAGTTGCACTCGAACAGTATATTACACACTCCCAGCTTTTTCCTGTAAACTGAACATCCGTATTGTCAGCTATTAAATGTTTTATGTACTAGGCTCAAGTTATTGATTCTCTGTTCTGTTCCGTTGGCTTGTGTACCAAGACCATATTGACTTGATGACATTAGTTGAAAATTCATTTAGCACCGTCTTGTCAACTTTTCCTATTTATACATTTTTAAAGTTTCCTTTTACTCAGTACTCCCTTCCAGTTCTACTGGGATTCTAATTAGAATTACATTACATTGGTCTTCACTTTTTAATTAGGTTCTTTATAGCTAAGAAATTGTATTTCTTTGCATGTTCACATCTGATTTTGTGTTAATTAGATCTATTCTTTTCTTCTTATCTAGTCTATGCTCTTTTTGATGCATTTCTCAAGAATTAATAACTTTTCTCCTGTTGGGGCTCAAATGCCTTCCTCATCTCCATTGCTAAGTGCTATCTGCTATGCAGGAAAATGGTATTGACTTTTATGAATATTTATCTTATGTTTAGCAGATTCTCCTATTATCTCTGGTAAATTTCATTTTTCTTCTATCTTTTCAATACTTACATTTTTTGTTGCGTTTTGTAGAAACTCAGGTAGCTAAATAGAAATCATGTTGATGGCCTACTCTGCCTAAAGATTTTAAAATCAAAATGTTTTCTGAGTTTTTACATTTGCTCTTGGCATTTGTTTACTTATTTGGTTTCAACTTTTCATTTCTTGTGTTTCCACATTTACTTACAGGATTGGTTACTGTATTTTAATAGCATCTGCATGAGTTTGAAATTGTACTCCAAGTTTTTTCTTTTCTTTCCTGAAGCACATTAGTCAAGTTCTGTGCTATTGAGCTATACCCCAGATCTAATTTATTTTTTCAATACAATGAATTATGTTGATAGAATTTCTGGATTTGAACTACTATTATATTACTGAAGTAAGCCTGCTGATCACAGTATGTTACTATTTTGATACAAAGCTGAATTCTGTTTATTAGTATTTTATTTAGAATGTGTCTTCAATATTCATAGGTGAGATTGAAATCTTTTGTGTTTTTTATTAGATTTGAAGATTAAAGATAAGATGGGTAACATATAGTATAGAATGTTTCTTCTTTTTCTTTGGCCCACAATACTTGAATTACACTTAGATGTTACATGTCCTTTGAAGGTGTGATGAAACTCCCTTGTAAAGCACATCTGGACTTGGTATCTTTTTCATTAGGTAGAGTCATAATTACCTTTTCAGTGTCTTCTTCTATGGAAACCAATCTATTTAAATTCTTTGCCTTTAATTTTGGTTGTTTGTATTTGTTAGAATATTATCTACTTATCCTATATCTTCAGATTTATTGCCATAAGTTTGGGTGAGTATGCAGTATTCTTTATCATTTGGAGAATCTTTCCTCGTGTGGTTACGTTTTATTTCTTGAACTTAATCTTGTATGTTTTCTGTTGTCTCTTCTGTATTTAAATTTGCTCAGCAAGCTCATTATTGATTTTTGATTGCTATGTAGAATAAAGTCTTGGATTTATTCATCCTTTCAGTCTCCCTTCGAAGTGTTAAAACCATCAACCTATGTCATTCAACAGTCCTTACGGCTCAGTGTACACACTCGGAGTGTACACACAGGCTCTGCTGTGGCCTCGTGTACGAGCACTACCTACCTATTTCTTATTTGTCCACTCCTGCTTTGCTGTACCAGTCTATGCACGTTTGCTAGCTTCCCAGCTAAACAGAGCTTGGCATGTTCTTTGCAGAGACATGCCCAGTCACTGCAGGAAATGGGTTATGATGTATACAGCAGGCTGCATTGCCCCATGCTGGTTTGGGACTGACAGTTCTTTTGGCGGGTAGAGAAGGGGCAGGATTCTCTACAGGGATCTCGTGGCCTGTTTCACAGGAGAGACTGATAGTTTGCCAGTGTTCCAGCTGGGTCGTGACTATTTCATTTATGGGAACCTCTGCTGACATGTGACTTGCTAAGTGCTGCTGCTGTAGCCTGCTGCTAGAAAGGCTGCCTCAGCAGAAACCATGCATCTGAGATGTAGAGCTAGAATTGGCAGGGTTTCTGCTTGACCCAATCCACAGCAAGCTTGGGCGTGGTGGTCTTATGCCCTCTGATCTCACCGACTTTGGGAATTGCAGCCTGGTAGCTTTCTGCTTCTGGAAGCCCCTTATCTTCGTGTTTCTAGGCGCTCCTACTTTATGCATGCTCAGCAAGCAGCTCCAGCATTGTTTGTTGTGTCGTATTTGTTCACGCATGACTGCTCTCCATCTCTTGGAATCTGAGCCACTTTCCTTTCCTCATTTGGCTGCTTAGAGGGGCTTTTTCCGTAAGAGCGGTCCCCCAGTCCTTTCTATGGCCACCCTATAGAATCCTTTTTTCTCATCAGGTTTGCCTGAAAATAATACATTCCACCCTCTGTGTGAGGTCCCACCTCCCCAGATTCAACCAACTGCACACTGCACACTGCAAGATTTGTTTGTTTCTTTTCAAATTGCATCTGTTTGAACAGGAGGCTTTTTTTCCCTTGTCATTATCCCCTCAACACTATAGGATAACATGTTTGCAGAGTGTTTACATTGTATGAACTTTTGTTAAAAAAAAATGGGCTGGAGAGATGGCTCAGATGTTAAGAGCCCGACTGCTCTTCCAGAGGTCCTGAGTTCAATTCCCAGCACCCACATGGTGGCTCACAACCATCTGTAATGAGATCTGGCACGCTCTTCTGTATGCATAATAAATAAATAAATCTTAAAAAAAACAATCTAAAGAGGAAGTAAGCATTGAAGTGTGCCAACTTTTAAGTAAGTTACCTGTCTCAGTCACCATTAGGGAACCTACCCTGTCATATTATGCGAAAGTTGGTCTTCCCCTCCCTCCTTGTTTTTTATCCCTGACTGGCCTCCAACTCATACAGATTCATCTCAGAGCACTGGAATTAAAGGCATATACCATCTTGCCAATCCCTCACACTTAATAAATAAGATTTCCTTTTGAAACTGAGGTGGAGTCAGGTAGGGTGGGTTGGCGCACGCCTTTGATCCCCGCACTCGGGAGGCAGAGGCAGAGGCAGGCAGATTTCTAAGTTTGAGCCTAGCCTGGTCTACGGTGAGTTCCAGGACAGCCAGGGCTACACAGAGAAACCCTGTCTCGAAAAGAAAAAGAAAAGGGAAAAGAAAAAGAAAAAGAAAACAGATTTCCTTTTGATAA